AGAGGTGGGATCAGGTGCCATTTGGGAGTGATCATCACCTGCCGATCGGTCACACCCGCTGTGTGCTCCTTGTCATGATCAGGAAATAACAGAAAAATCCGTCTCAATTCAGTTTGTGAATAATGACCAGCTATATTATTAGTATAAAAAACATCAGTCAGCATTTGACTTAATGATAAATTGTATTTGCTGACAAAGTCTGTCATCGTATCGACCATATAGCTTACGAAATGATGAAATATATTTCATACGTCTTTTACCTGTGACAAAAACTTTCAAATTTCATGACAATTTTTGAGCTCTAAACCCTGACCAGGGTGCTTCAGCTACTTATATAAAATATAAACTGATCTTGAAGTTTGATTTACTTTTCAAATATTTTGTTGTAGCTTTTGTTCCTGAATAGAAACAACTTTCATATCTTTACATATGCAACACCTGATCATAAGTGAAGATTTCTCAAACTCTACTGAATCAATTTTTTTTTAATTCAATGACCGTGATGTTTGTAAAGCTTTTTCTTCAAATTAAAGAAGTTCTTTTTAGCATTTTGGTTGAAGAGGATTGGCCAGGCAAGAAAAAGCCAATTGGTTTATAAGACCCCGAAAGCAGGGGACCGCAATTCTCTGATTTGATTTTTTCTATAAATTTCTGGACATATATCAGAATGGTTCATTCGATTTCGATAAATATACCCCGATACTGCAAATGCAGTAGAGAGATAATCATTAAATTTCAATATCCAAAATGTATTGATCCTTACACGGAAGCTGATAATGTGCATATTATTTAATATCTGTCAAGAAATGATGAACATGATTTTAAATAAAGGTTAACCGTTCTAAATTTATAACAATGAATTTTAAATAGCATATTTATAGAAATAAAAAGAAGTACGCAATTGCAAATTCTCTAGTGCATAAGAGACTTTATGTTCTGAATTCACCAGTTCAACCCAACATAATTTCTTTATAAAATAAAACTCAAAACACTTCATTTAGGATGAGCTCGCATGGGCTAGTGCAACAGACTTTAATGAAGTGTATACAGTATACAAAACAGTCTTTAGTTTGACCTCTTAAGTCCGTATCATTCTACAAAAGAAAAAGTCTCACTTAAAAGTAACATAATCAAAACAAGCAAAAGCATGTACGAAATATCGAACTGGAATATACTGGAAGGGGTGGGTGGGGTGGGGGATGTAGAAACGAACTTCAAATGACTTAAACACCCGTAAGTCTACCTTATGCGTGACTGAATAATGCGTAGCATGGATTCAACCTATTCGTATTCACCTGTAAACATAATGAACAACCAATTAATCTCCTTTACTGATGGACTTATTCTGCATACATAACAAACGCACGTTTTACCATAACGTTTATAATTATAGATATATTTTTTAAAGGCAGAAGTTGGTCTTTGACGTAGGTTAATAAAATGCCTGTGCAATCTAACTTCTCGAAATGGTGTCAATTTCAAATGTTTCATTAAGATTCTCTTAATAACATCGACCTTGTTAGTAAATTCTGTGAATGTCTTTAATTTTCAATTTCAAATGTTTGATTATGATTACTCTTAATAAAACAGACCTTGTTGGTTAATTCTATGAATGTCATTATTAAGCTCCTGTTACATTCTTACAGTTTACTCTTGTTATGCTGTAATTGTGGGTGTGCTTTCTTCATCCATTATCATCTTTCATAAAAGTTTTTCCTTTCCGAAACGTAGACATTGAATTATCAACGTAACCTGTCTGATGGGAATTTCTCGAGCCGAATTAACGATTAAGGTCTGCATTGGTCTGGGAGAATTAAGTCTCAATTTCACAATCATTGAAAAGAGTGTGATTTGAATAAAACTTCAAAGTATGTTTAAAATTTAAAAAAAATGCATATTAACGAAAAAATTAGAAGAGGACCCACTCTAAGAAGAACCTTTTATGACGAAGAATAACATCTTTCCGAGAAATATTTGAAGCCCAGCTTCCCAAGAGTCATCAAGATATAAGCTTTTGTTGGTAGGAGAGAGAAATGACCTACCGTGAAATGACCTACCGTGAAATGGTGGGAGAGAGAAATAACCTGGGAGAGAAAAATTTTTAGACAGAAATGACCTGACACCAGATATAAATGTCGCCACGTGTTATGACTTGTGCAGTGTAGTGGTTAGCAAGTCATGACTTGCTATTCAAGATGTGTATCGCATGGGTTCAAATCCCAAGAAATCCAGTGTTTGAAGCTCTAGAGTGTCTGGCAGAGACAACCATAGAAGATCATTGGGTAAAGCTTCAAGACACTTGGAAAAGTGCATGCTGTAAAATCCTACGAAAGAAAACGAGGGAGCACAAAGAGTGGGAGACAGCAAGATCATGGGTAAAAGTGGAAGAAAGGAAAGAGCTGAAGCAAAAAATAAACCAATGTAAGAATGCTCAACAAATGGAGAAACTGAAAACAGAATACAGAGAAACAAATAAGTCAAAAAGTGTGCTTGGAAGGACAAAAGACAGTTTGTCAATGACATGACTGAAGAGGCAGAGAGAGCATACAGAGAACAACATGAAAAAGCTCTATGAAATAACCAGAACACTATGGGGAAAAGAATGTAAACACCAACAGCCCAGTGAGGGACAAACAAGGCAAACTTATTACTGGCGATGTAAGACAAAGAGCTAGATGGGTGGAGCACTTTAAAGAAGTTCTAAATCGACCACCACCACCCAGTCTTGCAAATGACAGAAGAACATCAAATCAATGCAGGTCCACCATTTAGAATAGAAATAACAAAGGCTATAAAGACACTGAAAAATGGAAAGGCAGCTGGTCTAGATGGTATCCGTCCTGAGGCATTCAAAGCTACTCCAACAAAGTCGACAGAGATGTTACAACCACTTCTGCAAAAGATGGGAAAAGGAAAAAGTACCAGATGCGTGAAAAAAAGGATACTTGGTTAAACTACCTAAGAAAGGGGTCCTGTCGCAGTATGGAAATTGGAGAGGCATTACGCTTTTGTCCATTGCCAGTAAGATCGTAACAAGAACAAGTTAGGAAAGAATGAAAGGTGCACTGGACAAGAAGCTAAGATCAGAGCAAGCAGGGTTCCGCCAGGACAGAGCATGCACAGATCATATTGCCACACTACGCATTATCATTGAACAGTCCATTGAATGACAGTCCCCTCTTTACTCAATCTTCATGGCCTTTGAGAAGGCCTTTGGCAGTGTGGATAGGTCAACCATTTGTACGTTAATGAGGCATTATGGAATTCCACCAAATTCATAAGGGTCATCAGGAATCTGTATGATGATGCTACATGTCATATCATCCATAATGGGAAGCTCACAGATCTTTTCAATGTGGATACAGGAGTAAGGCAGGGTTGCATCCTCTCACCTTCCATATTTTTTACTGGATCATGCAGGAAACAACAAAGGGCAGTAAAAATAGAATCCAGTGGACCTTCACAAAACAGCTTTAGGACCTGGAGTTTGCCGATGACATTGACTTGCTCTCGTACAAGCTATCAAGATTTGCATCAGAAGCCCAAAAGACTGGCCTTAAAATAAAAACTAAGAAAACAGAGATAATGAGAATTAGCAACAAACAAGAGACATCAATTCAGTTAAATGGGGAGAACATCAAAGAAACTGTCAGATTCACCTATCTTGGGAGTATTGTCAACAAGGATGGTGGAGCAGATGACGTCAAAAGCCGAATTAATAACTCGAAGGCAAGACATACTTTCAACACAATCAGACAAACCTGGACTTCTAAAGCACTCTGCATCAACAGCAAAATCAGGATTTTTAACACAAATATTAAAGCTGTTCTCCTATATGGTTCCAAGACCTGGAAAGTAACTAAAACAATAAACAGTAAACTACAGTCTTTTATCAACAAATGTCTCCGCCATATCCTTAACATCAGATGGCCTGGCACCATATCAAACAACAGCCTATGAGACAGAACCAACCAAAATCCTTTAGATATTGACATCAAGAAGAGAAAATGGGGCTGGATAGGCCACACCTTACGCAAACCCTCAAACAACATCACTAAACAAGCTCTGGATTGGAATCCACAAGGAAAGAAGAGGGTTGGGAGACCAAGGCAAACCTGGAGAAGGTCTGTAAAAATGGAAGCAAAAGAAGCTGGATTTACCTGGACCCAATTAAAAAAACATAGCCCAAAACAGAGTCCGATGGCGCGGTATGGTTGTGGCCCTATGCTCCCCAAGGAGTGAACAAGACTAAGTCAAGTAAGTCAAGTGTGGACCCTCTCCTCAACCACCCATCCCACCCACCCACCCATTTAACTCGCGAAATATCCTTGGCAATGCACTCTTTCATGTATTAATTTGGTATAAGAATTTTGTCAATGTATTGTGTTTCCTTACGAACCAGAGATAGCAATGATATTTAGTTTGTGAGGTATCTGTCATACGCTGTCAATATTCGTCAGTCAACAGCTCGATCAGAACAGTTTGTCAAAGGGAAATTTGAAGTTTCGATTCATTTTTAATTCACAACAAGAAACAACTAAGCATGTAATTAAGGCATGTCAAAAGTACATTTAAACTTAAAACAAAATGGAAAATACATACGTATGTAGACATGGAGATGTACAGTTCACACCTAAAAGACCTCACTCTGAGGAGTATTAGTATGATTTTCTTATACAGCTAGTTTCAAGGTATGCATGTACTTACATGTTTACTTTTTTCATATCAAAATTTTATGTGCCGTAAACCAGTTAACAAAACCAGTTCAGTTATCTAACTGCCAAGGGGCCAAAAAATTCCCTTGTAGCATGTCTTACAATTTATATGTACGTATGTCCAGTAACATCTGTAGCTATGCGAGATTTAAATTTTTTTTTCATTCTTTTCAAAATTTGTACTTAACATGCACACTGTGTGAAAATTAATTACTTTTTTTAGAAAACCGCACATTTGCATAAAAAGTTCATTAGAACTCATATTAACAACCATAGAGCTCTCGTGACAATAAGACAATCTGAAAATAATGTGTTTTTATCTAATGAGTCATTAAATAAGCTGTATTCTCACAGAAATAACATAAAATCAAATCAAGTGCTGGGAAAACCAGGTAGGTTTTTATTTATATTTAAAAATCTTCTGATAGACGTAAATAAACGTAAAATTAGAGAAATAAACAGGGAAACAAATATAATTCTACACCAATTTTATGTTGAAATATTAATACATATTTGTATAAGCTTTGATTATATGGAGTTATTGAGGACAATAAATGAAATAAATGCACTTTAAGTCAAAAGTTTTGGTCCATGTCATTTTTATACACCCCTTTTGCAAATTTAAAACATCAAACCTCATTCCTTTGCCTGTCTGTCTGTCCATCTTTCTGTCCGTCTGTTGGCCAATGAAACTTTAACCATTCTCATATAGCTTTTGAATGAGAGAGGATCGTGCTTTTATTTGAAATATTAGTATGTGGAGATAACGAACAGTATTCAACCTCAAAAGTCCCAATAACAATACAAATAGGAACAGAGCAAACACGCTGAAACATCAGAGGTGGAATCAGGTGCCATGGATTAGTGATCATCCCCTGCCAATCGGTCACACCCGCTGTGTGCTCCTTGTCATGATCAGGAAATAACAGAAAAATCCGTCTCAATTCAGTTTGTGAATAATGACCAGCTATATTATTAGTATAAAAAACATCAGTCAGCATTTGACTTAATGATAAATTGTATTTGCTGGCAAGGTCTGTCATCGTATCGACCATACAACTTACGAAATGATGAAATGTATTTCATACGTCTTTTACCTGTGACAAAAACTTTCAAATTTTATAACAATTTTTTAGCTCTAAACCCTGACCAGGGTGCTTGAGCTACTTATATAAAATATAAACTGATCTTGAAGTTTGATTTACTTTTCAAATATTTTGTTGTAGCTTTTGTTCCTGAATAGACAAAACTTTCGTATCTTTACACATGCAACACCTGATCATAAGTGAAGATTTCTCAAACTCTACTGAATCAATTTTTTTTTAATTCAATGACCGTGAAGTTTATAAAGCTTTTCCTTCAAATTATAAAAGTTCTTTTTAGCATTTTGGTTGAAGAGGATTGGCCAGGCAAGAATAAGGCAATTGGTTTTTAAAAGACCCCGAAAGCAGGGGACCGCAATTCTCTGATTTGCTTTTTTTTTCTAAATTTCTGAACATATATCATAATGGTTCATTCGATTTCGATAAATATACCCCGATACTGCAAATGCAGTAAAGAGATAATCATTAAATTTCAATATCCAAAATGCATTGATCCTTACACGGAAGGTGATAATGTGCAAATTATTTAATATCTGTCAAGAAATGATGAACCTGATAAAGGTTAACCGTTCTAATTTTATCGCAATGAATTTTAAATAGCACATTTATAGAAATAAAAAGAAGTACGCAAAATGCAAATTCTGGCGTCTTACTGAAGTGATTATTTAAAAAGAAAAAAAATTTTAAAGAATTTAATCTAGTTAATGAAATTTGATATACCGTAAATCTGGAAATTTTTACGTCGATTTTATTTTGCGAATTAGGGTCAAAATGGTGTTGATAAATTTCTGCGTTTCAAAATTTTGCGAATCACCACTCCTTTGTTTACATTTTCTTATTGGTAATTTATTTTTAAGAAAAATATTTTTGCGAATGCAGTGAACTCGCAAATTTGCTAAAAATTTATCTACAGCAACAATTTCCAGATTTACGGTAAATATTTTGTATTAAGTAAACATGAATGGATTAGTTATAAGGTGTATCAGTATATCTACATAAAGTATTTACACTATATTTAAAAGAAACTTAACATGTTGATTTTTTTTTAAATAACACGAAAAATTATTTAAAAATTAATAAAACAATTTAAAAAGAACAGCTATGAGTAAATGGAAGAAAATGATTAGTAAGATAAAAATGATATAGAACACTGCACACACGTCATGTAGATTAGTTTTGCACTCCTTTGACAACACCCATTCCTCCGTATAGAGACACTACGACACAGCTTTATAGTTTGTCCCATAAAACCTTCAATAAAACAAGAAATTACAAGAAAATCCTACACTAAATTCCTTCCAACTGCGATGATATGTCCCATTACTAGTTGTCTTCTTACAACAAATAGTCCTAATAGATATGAGAACTGTGTTCTGTTTTAGGAATGTTTTAATGATATGCTGACTTTCAATTATGGTTAACGTGAGAAATAAAAGTGATTATTTTTTCAGCATAAGAAATGATTTGGGTCGTGTTAGTAATCCTGGGTGTCGGTTTGACCAGGGGCCAGTTTTGGCCAGGTAAGTATAAATAGTGATGTGACAGTAAATTGCGTCATAAAAGATTTGAATTTAAAATGGAACTTTTCTATTAATTTAAAAGTGCAGCATATATATATGATAATTGAATTATAATTGTTTATTTAACATTAAATTATTTTATTCATGTTTTATTAATGTTTCTTCCCTATACGTATTAAATATCACCGTTTTCGATTCGCCTTTGAATATTGCATAATTATAATTTAAAGAGACAGGGTAATTTTTCTTAACCTTCCATAGTATTTTGATCTTTCACTATTCTTTGTGGAATAGTGCATGTTTGTACTGAAATTTTGCCTTGATGAAGTATAATAATTTTGTCAACTGAATGCAAAAAGTAAAGAAAGTTTAAAGAATAATGACCATGAAAACTGTAAAGTAAATTAAGAAAAAACAATTTGCAGAAAATTAAAGGTGAGCTGGCATGTTTTTGAGATTTAGGTTCTTTCCCGTACACAGGGAAATGCACCATGTTAAATGTTTGCCAACAGCACACCTGACAGGTGCTAACATGCAATAATCCGAGAAAAAATAAAAGTGACAATTAACGCTCAAGGAAATGTTTCCTGCCAATCTCGGCTTTGAAAGTCTTTCAAAACATTACACCAAATTACAACACGAATTAAGTTTGTGATTCATTGACATATTCTGTGCTAAGTTCGGGGAAACATTATTTTCTTTCATCTGAAATGTGGAAAAATCATATTAATGAACAGATTTATCATTAGTGCAAAACAATGAAATTAAAGTTTAAGAAAAAATAAAAAGAAATGAATTTTTTGACCACTTTGTCATGTTTTACATGTAGTACGTTTCACTTTTATCCCTATTAATCTAGTTTTGCTACCTAAATGAAATATATTTAATTCAACATGCAACGGTACTTAATATAAATCTTAAAATATGATTCAATCTTCCCTTTTTAAATGTAATTTTATCCAAACTGTAATGTCTAGAGTACTAGATATTTGTCTTTTTGTTGAATGATTTTTTAGAGAAAATTTTGTTTTATTACTTGTAAGATTGCAATTTAATCGATAGTACATTTTAGGTAAAATGTTACTTTTCAGGGGGTTTTAATCCATTCCGCATGTTGGATGGGGACTTTGGGCCTTTTGATCCACATGGAATCATGCAAAGAATGAGGACAACTGATCTTAACAACCTTCCTCCGGGAACAAAGAAAGTATTCAAAGACAGAAATGGAGAGGGGGCCTTTTTTTTAATGGCCTACAATAAGAGTTTGACTAAAAGAGTTAACACTTTGAATATTAACTTTAAACGTGCATTTTATGTCTAACCTTCGCTTTAGAAATTGTTTATATGTAGAACATTTTCTTGTGTATCGAATCAATTGAGAGATATAAACCCCGTATGCAGATGATGAAGGTATAGTGCAATAATTTTAAAAAAATGCATAGCTATTTTATAATATCTTTTCAATTAAAATAAAAATAAAAAATGGAGAAAACAAACAGTATTCAAATTAAAAAATGTTTCCCTGCTCACCAAAGGAAGATAAAAGTAGGACTTGAAGCAGAATTTTTTGGTCTTTGAAAGATCTAATTCTACGATCTCGTATAGATTTGATACATATATATGTGCGAAACACAGCAGGAAAATCACGTGACATAGCTTTTCAGACAACACTTTGCCAAGAAAGTGACATGGTCTTGCATTCAGACATCCTCTTTTAAAGAACAAAAGATTTTAGATTTCATACTTTTTGTTTTTTCTCTTCACAATAACAGTTAAATTGCTCTCAGTCCTTAAACTTTTGATTGAATTTAGAATTAGACAAATGTCACAGTATGAACAAAACAACTTTTGAATATGAAATTGAAGATTGCCTATGTAAAATCAGAGAGAAAGATATTGAGAGTAATCACGACAATACTGTATTGACAAATTACACTGGTGTACTTATATCTAGGAGTCCAAGCGGAAACTCCGGTGGATTTGTCTTCAGTAGCGGGGGAGGCAGAGGCTTCTCCATGGGTAGTGGATTTGATGGTAGAGCCCCTGACACAGGGTTTGTGATGACGTCAGGTACTGGGTCACGCCCCCATATCTACGAATTTGGACCCGGTCCAAAGGGTGAACGACGCTTCTTTAAAGATGGAAACACACAGGGGACATTTTTCAGGTTTGTTTCTTTTATATTTTTAATTTCATCCTCTCTTATTTGATTGCAAGTTTGATAAGGGTCAATAACGTCATATATTAATAAATTGATTTTAATTTCACTTATTAATATTTCTTTATTTATGCTGTGGAAAATAAATTTTAGAAGCGCCGATGGAAATTCTGAGGGTTTTACATTTACCAGTGGTAATGGACAAGGTTTTGCTATGGGCGGGGCCAGTTCAGGAGTCGGCCCTGAGGGTTCCATTGGAGGGGGCTCATTCACCGGGGGAAGCTTTGTCGGAGCAGGTGCCCCCGAAGCTGGAAATTTTGCGTTCAGTGGTTCCTCCGCTGGACGTATACCAAATAAGAAGGTAGTCTTTGGCATTCCTCGTTTCAAGGGTGGAGATTTTTTTCAAAATTTTTTCACCTTTTTTGAACAACTTATTGGATATAAATTGCTATAAATATGATATTATTATCAAAATGTTCACTGTATGATAAAGTGGTCTAAAGCTACAATGCTTACGTGTCGAGAGGAACTTTAGTGGAGTAAGTCTTCAAAATACTATTAAAGTGATGTGTGGGTAGAAATTTTCTCTATTTTAAGAGGAAATACAAACATTTTTAATTTCCCATACTGTATAAAATATCAAGCTTAAAGTACTTAAGTAGTTTTGGTATGAAACTCTGCATGTCTACAACCGGCATTTGATTCTACAAAGCTGCTGTTTTTGCGTTGCTGATTGCATTGTTAAAACTTGTGCTGCATTTATTTCTTTCATGTACCTGTATTGCATGTACGTGCTTTTTGTTGCTTTCTGGAAATAAAATTTTACTATAAATATGCTTTGCTTTCATTTCTCAAACAATGATACAGCTATGCTTTCTGTCAGCACCAACAATGTAACAATCGCTTCTTATATACATGTACATGTACTTGGTGATTTCACTAGCAAATCGATTATCTTTGTTTAAAATGTTTGAACTAAATAAATTCATATTTAATTCTAATTCATTTTTGTACACATGTGCAATGCTTTTACTCATCGGTTCAAAAACATTATGTTACAAGTTGTTAAACAAAGTTTGAAAGTTTGGATCAATTGAATTCCTTATTTTAGAATAAGATACAAATGTAAATACTAGACGATTCATCTTATAGCCATCTGCTAGTCTTCTTTGTGATTTCAAAACATTCTGAGGTGTTTTTTACTTCAACATGACTAAAGGTGTTGTAATCACTGTTTTGAAAGATAAAGTATTTTTTTTATCATCTTTTCTTAATAAATGTGACGATCAAGTTTGGAACTACTACTACATATACTAGTAGTTTCACTTTTGATCACAATTCCTTCATTCTGTGTCCCAGCTGTATAAGATGGGTTTTTATGCTACGGTCTTGGACAATATCAGATCGTTAAACTTTTCTCTCGCCACTTTTCCAAGATAAGGAAATCGTCAAGCTAAAACTTCTCAGTATCACTACATTTCCAACAAATAGTATTTTTGAGAGCATATAAATACAGAGTATATAAATTTTAAAATAAGGAAATTATATATGATTGTCATTTTTTTTTTTTTGCCGTGGTTTACGGGGGCCTTTTATACACTATTAATAATGGCAACAGATGATTTTCCTTGCTCATTAATGACAAGTACATGTTAATGAAAGCCTCACCGAAGGCGTTGTGTCAAATATGTGCATTTAGACGGACAATACGAGAGAGTGGGAGGAACCTGCCAAAAGAAAATTCTCATAAATAATTATATATCGTCACTTAGTTTCTATAAATAAACATAAGTATAATTACTTTATACTGATATTCTAGTAGATTTACGTTTACTAATTAAAGAAATAATTCAGATAACATGATTTCTCAACAACTATTTTATTCTAATAAAGTATTTCCTTTTATGATTATTAACCGGAACTGACATATTTGAAACATTCGGAAATTTTCTTTCATAAATACCTGTTTAATCTAAATCTTTTTTTAAAAAGTCATCCTAAATTGACTCTCTCTCTCTCAGATTTTCTAAATATTTGAATTAGATTGTATATGAAATTTCAGTTGAACTTAACGAGATGTATCAAAATAAATAATTAGATTTTTTTTAAAAAATTGTGGACAAAATTTCCATATGATTAATCAATATGACACTAAAGTAATCTGTATTTCTATACAATTTCAAGAAATATGCCAGAACAAGGGTAAATTGATGGCAAACCAGTAATGGGTGCATGTATGATTTGATCTGTTTTTATTTCAACTGAAATATTTTTTCATCATTCCTTCGTTATGTATTTCCAGCTGCATAAGATGGTTTTTTATGCTACGGCCTTTTTTAATCGCTATACCTACAATTAATTGAAAGGAAATTAACTGTAGGATGAAAATAAGAATTATAAATATCATATTATTTTTATTATCAATATTTAAATAATTTAAGCCCATAGATTTCGACAAAATTATTTTTTTTAAATTAAGAAATATGCAAGAACAAAGAAAATTGTAGCCCGCTGTTCTGAAAAAAAATGGGGTAGACAGTCAGATAGCCGTCCTAGGCTAATTTTCTCCCAATTTTTTTTTAGACCAACGGGTTACAGATCTGCAGCTAATGACGATGTAAAAGAAATCCGATCTTCTTTCAGAACTATTTCAGAAAACATATTTCAAGAATTTGTTCATGCATATATTATGATTTTAATTAAAACCAGCAAAAAGGACGATATAAATAAACAAAAACTATTAATAGTGTAAAAAAAAATCATATTACTTTAATTTTTCTTATTAAGCAATTCGACAGAGGAATTTCGGACTGGAACAATATTTTGTTCAATTATCCAAACATTTTGCTTATTTTGTGTTTTGTTTATCAAGAGAATAATGGTATTTATTTCGAGAGATACTCAAGGGCAATTAACATGAAAGATGTCATTGACTTCGTTTATAACTCGATTCATTTCTGTAATATACAGTGGTTGGTGTTTCATTTCTATCAAGGAAATTTCTACGGCGTCTCAAACCAGGTCATGTCTAGAATGTTTTATATTTCTATTATATGTATCAATGTCTTATAACACCCTTTATTTTTACAGGCAAAAAAGATTTAAGAGAAAACCAGTGTAAGGAAAAAATCTTCCAAAGAGGGATGTATTTTTTAGTATCAAAATACATGGAGAAATAAAGCGAGTGATCCACCCCATTTTTAGTTATAATTATTTCATATTTTTAATAAAATATCGAAAATATTCACTTGATTTTATATTGATATGTTTGTCACACATTGATAAGTTGATTCTAACATTGGTACAGTCATAAAATATATCATAGATGTTTGATTAAAAAGGTATAATTTAGTTGAAATATAATTGTTGTTACGGAGGAATTATTGCTTCTACACTGTACCGTATGACTATTCCGAAGATGGTGTTAATCATATGCTTAATTTCTCATTAGCAATATCTATGAATTTTCTTTAGAGATATCATCTTCAAATTTCCATTGGTGATATTTGCAGGCCTAGTTTTGTACTCTTGTAAAACAAATTTTTCAATGACCTCCACATGAAAAGAAAAAGTATCTTCCTTTAACCTCTAATAAGATATATCGATGAAGTTTATTAATTAAGAATGCATAGTTTTATATATCTCAGTGAATTTAAAACAAAGTACACCTTAGAGTCTGACACTTGTGTTATATATTTTGATATTTTACTAGAAAAAATATTGATGGCAAACTAACAATAAATCATTATGAAAAACATGATGACCAAAACTGTTCTTAAATAGTCAGCTTTCCTTCTTCATGAAGCATTTGTCCATTATCATCTCCATATGGGACTTGGATGTCTCATTTGATTCGATCGACAAGAACTTGCTCTATGAAGGCTTTCATAAAGGAGTCGATCTTTTGACAAATACGTAACCAAACAAGAATATCAACAGTTCAAAGTCAACGGTTCGTAAATACTATGGTCGATAAAATGATAAAATGACCTTGTGAGAGAAACAATCTATCGCTAAATTGTATGCTGACTGACATTTTCATACTGATTGTCAAACAAAAATTTTCAAACTGAAATTGTCTGCAAAATTTTTCGTAGGATCGATCATAACAAGGACCACACTGCAAAGACGAGAGGGGATGCTTACTCCCCCAAAACACCTGATCCAACCTTTGATGTTTTAGAGGTCCGTTTTTTCTCTACTCATAAATTGTAATGTCAATGGATTTTGAGCTTCAATATTGTTCGTTATCTCCATATATTTCATGAATGTTAGGCTTTTTTAACCTAATATATGCATAATGGCCTAACAGTTATAGTATAAAACGTCAGTCAGCATTTCATGCACTTGATGATAAATTGTATTTGTTGACAAGGTCATTGTATCGACCATAGAACTTACGAAATGATTTAAGGAAACTGCTGATATTCTTGTTTCATCAATTTGTTTGGAAATAACTTTTATCGTTTTAGATATCGTTCATACGTATGAACAATTTTTAAGACGTAGAGCATGCTCTTGGATATCTGTATTTTGATACTTTTTCGTGTTTACAAGGGTTGTTCGAAAAGTTCGTGGACACCTGTCATATCTTTTTTATTCAACGTCATATGCAATCGAAATTTGGAAGGAATATTTTTTCAATAAATTAGATAATTTGAAGTAAAAGTTTTAAAATTATCATGATTTATTTTAAAACTTTTTAGAATTAAAAACTGCAAAAATCGGACCGTGGAGCATGTCAAAATTTAGTAATTCACAAACTACAGATTACATAAACATGGTAATGTATGTAGTCATTTTCCTTGTAAATGGGAACAAAAACGAAAAAAATCCTTCACTTTTGAATTAAGAACTTTTACATTGATTCACATTCCAAACAATGGCCTAATATCTTGCTTCGTTGAAAAGAAATAAACGTGAGAAGATAGGTAGTCCTCATTGAAAACGACAAAAACGATGACGTTTTAGAACCTCACGGAGCATGCAGCAGATAACGATACAATTTTGTGTTTTACTAAGGTAAAATCCTGAAAAAAAAACTTTTAAAATGTTGGATTTGAATAAAAAAATATGTTACAAGCGAGTTGTGCATGTGTGTACAAATAGTACAGGCAGTATTTGAGTGACAGATACTCTGTATCGGATGACGACAATCTGTGAAGAAACGGTGTAGCCGTAAAAATCTGAACAAAAACTTTTAAATGTTGGAACGTCAAGGAAAGACATAGGCGTTTTAGTGTTGCTTATCCTGTGAAAGCAAAGTTAAGTAATAAAACAAATTTAAACCCTTACAAAGGAAATTATACAACGAGAACAATTGTTAAAAATAAATGTCAAATATTAGAAAAAGGTTTTAATGAGTGGGTAT